TTCTCCAAGTTTGTTTTAACCTTCACCCGGCAAGACTCTATTATTAGAATGTCATTTGTCAAGATCCCAGTTCAGTTCAAACCACATAGCCCCCAGTTCACAGCTCACAGTCCGTTTCTTCCTTTTACTTCCAAAGACTTCCTTCTCCTCCCCCGAACAGGGAGATCCAGCAGAGTCCCGGCAATATATTGTTCACGGAAAGCAGAGTCCCACACAGTCTAAAAATATATAACCACGGAGGAAAAGGGGTCCAAAGTGAACAGTTTGCAACAGAATTTATTTTTTCAAGGCCCGTCAGTTGATTCTTCAAGAGTTATTTTTCCTCCTTTAATGGAGACACGAGCTATTTCTGCCTGGCTGTTCCTTTCGAAATAACCCGACCTTCAGCTTGGGTAAAGCTGGAATGCTAGGAATGCCGCTCCTTATCTCATTTGGTCATAAATTTGCACACAATCACTTGTTCTTCATTTAATGAGGTTTTTCATAGAACAAGGGCTTCCACTTACTTTGATGTATACTTTCGCCCTGCTTCTGTTTTCTTATTCTCGGCGAACGGAGCTGTCTTTGGCTAGTTGCCAAAAATGGCGCCCATCTTCGTCTGTGCTGATGTGAATTTCCAGAAGAAAGACAAATCGAGTTGCTGCCCAATCTTCTAACTTCTGTGGCTCACCAGCTGCTGCAGAAGGGTCTCTCCTGACTCTTCCTTGCCCCCCCCCATTTCTGGAAGGGTCCCAGACCGAAGTGGTTCTAGCTTTCCCCGGGAGCTATTCCCAAGAGCTGCTAGCTTCACCAAGACAAAACTCCTCCCCACCTCAGGGAGCAGCTCTGAGGGCATCGTGAAATGGTAGGAAACTGTTAGTCCTTAATGCATCATTACTGCCTTTCTAAGGAAGAAAGTGACATCTGAGCATCTTTCTGCTTCGGGTACTCAAATAACTTGCTTGGCCTTTGGCGCAATGTGCCATGACTTTGAGGGAAGGAGGCTGTTTGCTGTTCTGCCTTAGATGGCAGAGTATCTTTCTATGGCTGACACTCTGTGAATGGAGATACTGTCTGGATGCAAGTTTTCCCCACAGTCCACTTATTGACGAAAAAAAACCCCAAACCTACACTTGGTAGAACAATTGGCTGAGTTCAGTACTTTTTAGAAGTCCACGTCCTTTCTCCTGAATCAGTGTTATTCTAAAATAATCACTATACCTTCTCAGGACGGGAAATCAAGGAAGCAGCACTTCAGTGCTTCAGGCAAGTCCTGGCTGCCCCTTTCGATTCACAGGGAAGGATGTCCCGACCATCTCCTCCCTCTTGCGGCTGCTGTGTGTTGGCCCCCCGCATATCTTGAGCGGGCGGCTCAGAGAAATTCCCTGCCATGAAAGTGCAAACTGTTTTGTTGGGCCGGCCCGTCGCCCTCCTCTTCGTGGTTTTCCTCCGCTTCAGTGAGACCGATCAGTTGATCAGGTTCTGTCTTGTTCTCTGTGTTAAAAAGCTGCTCTTCCAAGATGGCTCCTCCGAGACCATATAGTTCATCGTGGGCAGTTACTTCTTCAGGTGACACGTGAGGAAGTCCAAGCACAAAGTTGGCAAACCTGAAGGAAACAAAACAAAGAGCAGGTGGGGAAAAGGAGGAGAGGCACTGGGCAAGAAGCAACAGAAATACCACGAGAAAGGCAGGAATGGAAAATGTCTGTCAACCCACACGATTCCTGGTATGAACAACAATCTTGATTTTGCCTGGAGCACATGAGACAAATGCAGCCACTGTGCATGAACGGCCTGCACCAATCACCAATCCTTAACAACGGCTTGTCTTTTTTGTTATTTCTTCCTCCCTTTCATTAGTTCCTGAGCATTCCAAGTGCTTCATAAACATCCTCCTTATTGCCAACCATCCTTCAAAAGCATGGTCGGCAAAAGCATCCTTTAAAATTATAGGGTCTGCAGGGCCCCGACTTTAAGGCTTCCAAGCCCCATCTGCTAAATTCCAATGGCAAATCATACTCCCTGATCTCAACAGTAGCCAGGAAATTTCTCCTTGCTCTGCATACAGCATAGCAGTTTGCTATAGAAATTTGGTGGCCGGTAAGGAGCCCCTGTCGCTGTCCCAGCTCCTGTCAAACAAGCACTTCGAAAGCATGTAAATGCGAGTAGATAAATAGGTACCACCACGGTGGGAAGGTAACAGTGTTCCATGTCTAGCTGTGCTGGCCACGTATCCATGGAAGATTGTCTTCGGACAAACGTTAGCTCTATGGGTTGGAAATGATAAGTACCGCCCCCTAGAGAAAGACAGGACTGAACAAATAGTCAAGGGGAACCTTTACTTTTACCTTAAGGATAAATAGCTGGTGGCGTGTCGCTGAATCTTGGTGATAAGGCAGCCGACAGAAGCAAAACGCTTGCTTCAAACGTCTCCCCCTCCCCCCGCCCAAAGCTGGTTTCAAATTTCAATCTTGAGTGTGTGGCTCACTCTGGGTAGAGGGAGAGGACAAAACCCTAAAACCCCTGCCCGCTTCTGCTGTTGTCCATCTCTGTTGTAAAGGGTTAGCTAGCATTACTATTTCCTGTTGTGCATATAGGACTTAAAATGGAGGAACTAGTAAGACTCAGGAATTAACCATTTCCCATGACTATTCAATGAGCTCATAACTTAGGTGAAATCTGAATGTGGTTCACAGCTTATTCTCTTACGCACCCAACCTATGCTCCCTTGAAAATCCTCATCCATGAGTTTTTAAAAAGATTGCCTTGTTTGTTTATTAAACCATACACAGGCAAAACCCCATCCAACCCAAAGTACTGTGGCGTCTCCTAGAGTAAATACATTTAGTTCCACCTGAACTTCTATGGATTCAAATCTACTTCCCCAGTCACAGGGAAAATACAGCATTTAGGCCGCAGGTTTATACACAGTGTATACATATACATATTATATATACAAAGCCGTATTGAAACACAGGTTTACATGTGAAGTATCTAGAACTTTGTCTATTACGGCAGTGGTCTTCAACCTTGGGCCTCCAGATGTTCTTGGACTTCAACTCCCAGAAATCCTGGCTAGCAGAGGTGGTGGTGAAGGCTTCTGGGAGTTGGAGTCCAAGAACATCTGGAGGCCCAAGGTTGGGGACCACTGTATTATGGTATGTATTGGGTTGTTGGGATGGCCAACTTGAGAAGCAGAATACAGAGACAAATAATGACACAGGTCACCTGGTCAGCCCCCAAAACCATGTATACAGCATATAGAAAACTGAAGGTTAATTAATTATCTCATTTTTTCACCTGTTTGTAACATTCTAAAAGATATTCTATGAATGGCTTAAAGTTTTAACAATCTCTATTTGAATCTCTAACAGGTAATTTAAAGTAATTTTTAATCACTCATTTATTGCTCATCTTGTTTATTTCTCTAATTACTGGAATATTTTAAATCTATCGTGACACTCATAAAGTGCCTATTGCAAATGAGCTGATCGCTGACCACATTAATAAACTGACAGACTGCATATAATATAAAGAACATCTGGAGGGCCACAGTTCGACACCACTAATTATGTCAATGTGTATAGGCAGTATATTGTATATATACTCTGTATGCATACACCTTTATCTTAAATATTATAGTCCATGTGCCTGAAGAAGTGGATTAAAGCCAACAAAATCTCACACTCAAATAAACATGTTAGTCTTGAAAGGTGCCACAACATCTTGTTATGCAGAGTATTACAGAAAGACATTATAAACTTATAAACTGCCTGACAAATAAATATTGCATCTCATCTCCGCACAGGAAAGGGTTTCGAATGACAAAAGATTCTGTCTAAACCAGAAGCAAACGTAATGCTTTGTGGAAAAGTAAAACTTTTCCTTGGTATAACTATGCATTAATGTGTTTAAGCACATAAAAACAGCGTCAGGATGTCAAATTGCAACAGAAACATTCTCACTTTTGTGGGGTTTGCAGCTTGACGACTGCCACCCATGAGGGAAATTCGGGCCGACTGCAGAACCTCCGCAGTTCCTCCAAGGCTCTGGCAGTCTCTGTTTCACCTTGCTCCCGAAATTCTTCTTCAGTGAGATGACGAATTTTGATCTTTTCAGATTTGAAAAAACGAGTGGCTTTCCTAGGTGGGAAGGAAAAAAAGGAAGGAAAACTGAAGGAAAAAAGGAAAAGGGAAGAATAGTGGCATTTTGAACACTGTGCCATGGATTTGAAATACAAAAATATGTTCAAGTATTGATAGACAAAGATACCGAACATACACTGTAGACTGCAGTGCACAGAATCCATGACCAGAAAAGCTGAAGAACGTGACAGACTGAACTTAAGCAGTTTAAGACATCAACCTTGTTTTGGTACAGTTAGATAAAATTCTATGCACATGTACTTGCACATATTCCACTGAATGTCTCAAAAACTTAATATTTTATGCTTTTAACTGTAATTTATTGTATTGTACTTGTTTTACTGCATTTTATATTTGATTAATGCCCCAACTGTGTTGATTATTCTTATTTTGTATATGTATTACTTTGTTACTCTGTTGTTTCATCTGCTGTAAACCGCCCAGACTGGCCCTGGCTGCCGGATGGGGAGTATTTAAATCAAATAAATAAATAAAAATAAAACTTATTTTTGAGAATGTTCACAATTGCACTGTAATGATAGTTGCCCGAACCACAGAAAAAGTTCCCAAATCATGGCCTCTGAAAGTTCCGCTCGACACTTGGATATCAGGTCTTCCCCAGGCACTGCCAATTTCTTTTCAAGCCTTGTTTCTGCTCACAAAGACTAGGAATCTGAGATGCAGACAGTCTCGGGACTCTCTGAATAAAGACCGCCTTTGGTGAGATTCTAAAATATTATAACCAAGCACACCATGCTTTTCTTTTTCCTATTTTTCACTGTAGTTAAAAAATCTTATAAAAGAAAAGGCACTTGATACCTTTCCTCCTTCCCCTAGTTATAGTAACAGCTGTGCTGTCTTGATACGGCCTCTAATATAATCTAGCAGGTAAACAGTTGTGCCTCTTGAAGGCCCTTGTACTTGAAGAGACATTGAACTTAAGAATATATCCAAGTAATTTATGCAGGTTTTTGTTTGACTTCAACAAACCACACTTGTATTGTAGAAATTATATCAGTGAGTGAAAAGGTTATTATTAGTGAAACAGTTTTAGTTCACTTCTATTGCCCTTCAACTCAATTTTACAATGTGCGTTGGGGGAATTTGATCTGCCAGATATTTTGGAGTTCAGTTTCTAGAAACCACAGCCAATAATAAAGGATTAATAGGAATTGCAGTCCAAAATGTTTAGAGGGCCACATGTTCCCCACCCTTGCATTAGTTTACTACCTTCTCACCGATTACAGCTTAGCCTCTGGATGGTGACCTCAGTTTATGTCAGTCTCTGGACTGGGACCTCCCCTTCACGGATTGCTGCCTTGTTGTGGTGAAGGGGCTTGAGTAATTCAGAGATCCTATGGGCTATGCCGTGCAGGGACACTCAAGACGGACAGGTCATAATGGAGAGTTCTGACTAAATGCGATCCAGCTGGAGCAGGAACTGGCAGGCCACTCCAGTATCTTTGCCAAGAAAAGCCCGTGGCCAGAAACAAAAGGCTAAAAGATATGACACTGGAAGATGAGCCACTCAGGTCAGAAGGCGTCCAACATGTTACTGAGGAAGAGTGGAGGACAAGTGCAAGTAGCTCCAGAGCTAATGAAATGGTTGGGCCAAAGCCGAAAGAACGCTTAGCTGCGGATGCGCCTGGAAGTGAAAGGAAAGTCCGATGCTGCAAAGAAAAATACTGCATAGGAACCTGGAATGTAAGATCTATGAACCTGGGTAAGCTGGATGTGATCAAACAGGAGATGGCAAGAATAAACATTGAACTAAAATGGATGTGAATGGGCGAATTCAATTCAGACGAATATCATATCTACTATTGTGGGCAAGAATCCTGTAGAAGAAACTGAGTACCCCCCCATTATCAACAAAAGAGCAGGAAAAGCTGTACTGAGATACAATCTCAAAAATGAGAGAATGATTTCAATACGAACTCAAGGAAGGCCCTTCAACATCACAGTAATCCAACTTTATGCACCAACCACCAATGCTGAAGAGGCGGAAAATGACTTGCAGTTCAAAACGAAGCAGGGCAAAGGCTAATAGAGTTTTGTCAAGAGAACAAGCTGGTCATCACAAACACTCTTTTCCAACAACACAAGAAGGACTCTACACATGGACATCACCAGATGGGCAATACTGAAATCAGATTGATTATGTTCTCCGCAGCCAAAAATGGAGAAGCTCCATACAGTCAGCAAAAAAAAGACCTGGAGCTGATTGTGGCTCTGATCATCAGCTTCTCATAGCAAAATTCAAGCTTAAACTGAAGAACGTGGGAAGAACCACTGGAGCTATTAAAGGAACATTTTGTGTAGAGATGGACATGATAAAGGACAAAAATGGGACCTCACAGAAGCAGAAGACATCACGA